GAAGAAGAAGAAGAAGAAGAAGAAGAAGAAGAAGAAGAAGAAAAGAAGAAAAAAAGAAGGAGAAGGAGAAGGAGAAGGAGGAGAAGAAGGAGAAGGAGGAGAAGAAGGAGAAGGAGGAGGAGGAGGAGGAGAAGAAGAAGAAGAAGGAGAAGAATGAGAAGAAGAAGGAGGAGGAGAAGGAGAAGAGGAAGAGGAAGAGGAAGAGGAAGAGGAAGAAGGAGAAGGAGAAGGAGGAGAAGGAGAAGGAGAAGGGGAAGAAGAAGAAGAGGAAGAGGAAGAGGAAGAGGAAGAAGAAGGAGGAGAAGGAGAAGAAGGAGAAGAAGAAGGAGAAGGAGAAGAAGAAGGAGAAGGAGAAGGAGAAGGAGGAGAAGAGGAAGAGGAAGAGGAAGAGGAAGAGGAAGAAGGAGAAGGAGAAGGAGGAGAAGAAGAAAAAGGAGAAGAAGATCCTAAACTTGGCTTTTTTATTCTATACAAATTAAATGGGTGATTATTCCAACCTATGCTTTCCCTTGACTGTGTGGTCTTAGATTTCAGCATCCATCATTGGACGTAGTTATTTCTGAATTAAGATCTCAAGGGACTATGCAGTTTGTCATATACTTTAGAACTCACAGGCCCAGAGTTCAACAAACTCTGACATTATTAACATGTTCTGGGATGCCAAGGGGTGTTTGGCAGACTGCCCACTATTACAACTCTAATCTAGGCCAGTTTTCCAGGCTAGATATTGGCACGGTTCCAGAGGAATTGCCTGTCCTCTGTCTCGACCGTTGCTGCTTATTTCATGGGAGTGAACCACTAGGGATATTTAAAGAGAGGTGCCAGGTCAAGTAGTGAGAGTGAGATTAAGAGTTAGAGATAAAAACCAGTACACTGGAACTCCTGAAATATTAAGAGACTCAGAACAAGTCTTCCAACAGGTTGAGTAAACTTGTTTAGGAGAAACTATGGGAAAATATAGACAAGAGTTACACAGGATGAGTTGCAATCTGAACTATGAGAGGGAGCATCCACCTTCAATGAGATCACACATCCATTGAAGTACTCAATTGAGCTCTAAATAAAAATTGAGCTCTAAAAAAAAAAAGAAAGAAAAAGGAACAGCTCTTCAAAAACTCTTCTAATTAAGAAGGTGAATTGGTGAAGTTGGTCTACTATATTTATTTGTTTAATGTTGTAATAGACCAGTGTTCGCCAACTCCGCCTCCTTTTCCTAAAAGCAAAGGATGCTGTCCTCAAGACCTGGCTGGGCCAGGTGTCTAAAGCCCAAGCTTTCCTTCTTTTGGTAGCTTCTCTTGTAGCCTTAGAGCAGGTTTTCATGGATTCCTGTTCACGTGAGGGGGTAAAAAGACCCTCCTACATGGAATCAAGACTATTCAGATTTAGTAGATGACCCAAGTCCTTAGCAGTCACCACACCCTGCCCTGCTTCCATATGGAATTGGGAGCTAGAAGGCCCATCTACCTGAACTAGATGCTGTAATCCTGTTAAATGTCCTTTATATTGTTGTATTATTGTTCAGTCATTTCAGTCATGTCTGACTCTTTTGTGACCATTTTGGAGTTTTCTTGGCAAAGAAACTATAGGGGTTTGCCATTTACTTCTCTGGCTCATTTTACAGATGAGGAAACTGAGGCAAACAGGGATAAGTGACTTGCCCAGGGTCACAGAGCTAGTAAATGTCTGAGGGCAAATTTGAACCCAGAAAGATGAGTCTTCCTAACTTTATGCCCAGTACTCTATTCACTGCTGCCCCCTTATAGAAATTATTATACATTATAGACATATATATATATATAATATATATATGATGTTATAGATATGTCTTTTCTACTTGATGGCTAAGTACACCTTTTGCTTTGCTTTTGTTGATTGTTCTATGAGTCATTTTATTTGTACCTTATTGGTATTGGACCTTAACCTACCAGGGGACCAGCCTGAATCAGGCTTAGCTCCCTACAAATATGTTCCTGAACCCAGCTATCAGTCCAGGGCTCTGGACTGATCCAACTATATTTGTGTAGGAGAAGGTATAAAGACTGAGAAATCAGAAGAGCCGGGTTAACCTAGTTCTGCCACTAACTTGTTATCTGACCTTAACCCAATCTCCTTAGAATTCTGTTTCCTCATTTGTAAACTGAAAGAGTTGTACTAGATGCTCTTTAAAATCCATTATAGCTCTAATAAAAACCTGGTCCTATGATGCCTAATTGATGGAAACATAACAAATTGTGATATATCATTATAATAGACTTATAATTATTAAAATATTATAGCATATTATTATATTGTTATATTATATTGTTATGTTATAATTGTTATAGTAATTATAATTATAATTTCTTCAACTCTAAGAAATGACAAATAGGAAGAACACAGAGAAGCCTGGGAAGACATAGAAGGTGATACAAAGTGAAGAACCAGAAAAACTATGTGTACAATTACTGCAATGTAGATAGCAAGAACAACAACAACAAAAACAGAAATGAAGTTTAAATTGAATTAATTAATGTAATTACTAATTAATTGATTAAATTGAATGATAATGACTAAAGTTGGCCCTGATAAAAGAGAAGAAAATGAATTTCCATCCTCTAGAAGTGGAGAACTATGGGTGTGGATCATTGCATGTAATGTCAGACTTGGTTGATGGATTAGTTAATTTTGCTGAATTGCATTCCCCTGCTGCTTCTCCATTCTTTTTTATTCTGTCATCAGGATTACTCTCTGGAAAGGAAAACAATAAAGGACATATTTGGAAATTAAATTGATTTTGAAATAAAAGGTATTAAAATTTTGTAATTTTTTTAAAAATCTGATCTTAGAGTTCAAATTAACTCCCTTATATTCTTGAGCATTTTTTAAACCACTCTCAAGCATTTCTAGTCAGTTAATACATTACTATCCTTGTTCTATGAATTTTTGGAAATTATTTGTCTCAAAAGTTCAATTCCTGTTTAATCCCTTTTGGGGGTATATGGTATGGGAAAAGGAACAAAAATATTTCTTTTAGTGAAGTTGCTTCTCTAGGGGCCTGAATAATCTAGTTCTGCAATTTTAGATAACACTTTTCTCTCACATTCTTTGCTTTCATTTCCCTAGAAATAGGAGTCCGGCTATATTTCTGCTTCCTGTCAAGAGTTAGCTTTGAAGACAACGAAATTGTATGCTTTGGGTACTTTGGAAACTTTCCAGAGCAATTTTATCTGAATGTAAAAGGCAATTTTATTTGGAAGTTGTACTTCATCAGCATTTGAAGGGACCATGAGGATTGTATTTACTTTTTTTTTTAATCAGAATTTCCAAAAAATAATGTTCATTTAAAATTATTTTCTGTTGCCTTTTATATTTCAGCCTTATGAGCCTTCAGCCTTCTTCACAGATGATATTTTCCAAACACATCATGTGTATGCCCATTTCTTTGCCTTTGTTCATGCTCTGTTTCTCTCCTTTCTACCATTGCCTTCTGTCTATCCCAATTCTACGCCTCCTTTGAGGCTTACTTCAAATACCACCCAGTAATGTACTTGAGCTGATTCATATAGGCTCAAGAAATCTGACTGTTAAATTTTCAGTGAGAGCATTCACACCGGAAAAATTAGCAAATGTTATGAATCAGGGCTTGATTTGTTATTTTGATTACTGTATTTCACCACACAATCATTGCCACCACATAATAATCACACTCTGTTTTTTCAGTCCAAAATCTGGTTAATAACTTTTTATCACATAATTGTCATATGGTATAATTTTGTTCATCACACTACTTAAAAGGTAAACAGAGCAGCATTGTATTCACTAGTGGCATGTGGATACGTATTTATCTCTCCCAAATTGTGAGCAGCGAGCCTAGAATTCTCAGTGCACACGCATTGTCAGAATTCAATTTTAAAGTATATTCACAAGTATTCATGTATCCTTATCTTGCACCAGATAGTTTAGTAATGAATGGTTTTAAAGAAATATCAGATAAATGAAAATAAATTAATTTAAAAAAGAAATATCAGCACAAAAAATTTTTAAAAGCTTCATGTAATGGTCGCACCCCATTTTTTCACAAAAATTTTGGCATAAAACCTGTGATGATTATGTGGTGAAATACAGTATCTAGACTTCAAAAAATGATGGGAAAAATGTTAATGAATGCTGATTAAACTTAAAAGTGTGACTTATGTGCTTTTTTTTTAATCAGGAGAAGGTTGTTCAATACCAGCATATCACTGGTGTCACCTCTTCTATTAGGAATACAGAAGTATTTCCAATTGGAAAATGATGGCACACACCGTGGAGAAGATGGAGGTGGTACATCAAAGGTAAAACCAAGCAGTATCTCCTGAAGAGAGAAAAGAAAAGAAGAGTGGAAAGTGATTAGAAGTTTTCATTCCTCTAGGAGAATTTCCCACAAATAACCACTGAATAAACCTAATATTTATATTAGAACTTTGCCTTGAATCTGCTAATTGTTATCAGTCACATGCACAGGTAATGCCAAGTTGTTTATTTTGTTTCAGTTTGGTTTTTTGTTCATTCCTGTGAGTTTATTGGTGTTGGGAACTCCTTGTTCTTGGTCCTTCATTCTTGAAGAGGACCATGACATCAGGAAGGTGATGCCATGACTTGCAAGCGAATTGGATTTAAGTGACACAGGACTGTGCAAGGTCACCAGTCTCACTTTCTCCTCGGGAGCCATCTGGGTCCAGTGGCAAGATACAGATCAGGATGATTGGAGATGGGAGTTCCCAGGGAACTTCTAGTAAGATGAGAAAAGAGCCACACTTAAAGGGAACTTCACAAGGACTCCACAAAATGAGAAAAGGATTTCCAGTGTCAGGGCTTGCCAATGTGCCTCACTATCTTTGTACTTGAAATTCTAACCTACTCTCACCAGGGACCTTGTGTGTGCAGTTGGAGAGTGTACCTCTGGTATAAGGAAAATGTTGCGCTCTAACAGTAACTGTCCACTCTTCTCCAAACCCCATTAGCCTACATAGCTCTAGATAAAACTGGTCTTCCCCAGGGTGTCAAACCAACTAATATAAATCATTCCTCAAGCATATAATAAAGGATGCTTGTGGTCAGGCACTGTGTGAAAAGCTAGAGGAATAAAAAAGGAAAGAAAAGGAAAGAAACAAAAAGAAAAGGAAAGATAGATTGATACAAAAAAAGGAAGGGGAAGGAAGAGAAAGAAAGAAAGAAAGAAAGAAAGAAAGAAAGAAAGAAAGAAAGA